CACACAATGATTATAACGTGCTGAAAGTAAACATAGGGTTGTTACTAATACAGTGCTATTTATTTCTTACGACGTACGATTAGTAATGAGGTCTGTAAGAATAATCACAAACGCGCATTGCGGCTGATTGTGACGCTCGTGAATAACAACCAGCCGCAGTTTATTAAAATGTGCGATATTTTATCAACCCCTCTTGTTAAGGCATGGAGCTTTAAGCTTTATTCTGTATACAAAACGTTTTGTTAGCTGCGCTCTCAACTGAGGGGGTTTATGACAATGGCTACTTCGTCATGTAGATGGCCATTGTATCCAGGTAAAAAGCAGGGAATGATATTTCTAAATTTCTAACCCGCTGAAAAATATGTAATGATTAAAACAAATTACACATTTATCCTATTTTTTTTAAATTATTACATTACCTAATTATTTAACGCTGAATATGTCTTTATTGTCGAACTCATCGTCGTTGATACTACTAATGCAATTTTATTTTTATTCATATAAATAGGAAAAGGTTGAAGACAAAGTCATATCGCGCTTTTTTTTTAATTTAATGTCACAATTTACAATTTCATTTCATGCAAATCGTCCGCTTCTTCAATTTTAATACTCAGCGTGTTTAGTAAAAGGCAGACACGCTGAAATAATTTAATTTTAATTATTTCTTTATAAATCGCGGTCATTTCATGCAGTATTATGTGAGAGGAGGAAGTGACTTGTTTTGCTTTTCATGATATAATTTTCATAATTATCGTTGTACTGATACTTGTTCTGAGCGGGAATCGAACCCGCGTTCGGAAATATCACAAAACAAACTTCGTCATTTTTACATAAACACCAAATACTATTTGTGCATATTTATTTATGTAACTTTATGTACACATGATTGCATATTATAGACGGACTTAATGCCTCAGGCATTAACAAGAGTAGAATTACTCAACCTTAGAGTAGTGCAGAAGTAAGAGGTAGGTTTAAAAAGAAGTACAGAGATTAAATAAATAGAGTTATGCTTATCTACATACAAGCTGAATCACCCTATTTCACCCCCTCAGGGGTTGAATTTACGTCAAGAAAGGAGTAGGTATTATATGCAAATTATAAGTCAATCGGGCGTGTAGTTTTGGTGATCTGGTGATGAGCGAATAAATCAGTGGTATTTAGCTTATATATATATATATATATATAAGATCATCTTTTATTTAAATAAATATTATTACATTACACTGCATAATATTCTATCTTCATGTAATTTTTTTAAATTATCGACAACCCACAGGATATAATGATAAATAATTGAAAGTTATTCATCTGAATTCTCCGTTGGTGTTCTCCATTTCGTTTCACGGAAGTCATGTTATATTTTTATAACGTTTGTAATATTTTCATACGATCTGCTAATGTGAACATTCATCTGAAACACTGATGTAATTTTCTTGGCTTCATGCAAACTAGGCGCTCGTTCGTAAATTGTTTCATTATTCCAATCCATTTTTCCAACCCTGAGAGGTTTCAAGATTGTTTCGTACGTTTTTCTTTCTGATTATGTGTTTGTTCAATAATTCTTCGCTCTTGAGTTCTCGTGTGTTTGTCTGCAGCTTAATAGTCTTTTAATATTTGGATCGTGTTGTATAGAAATGATCCAACTCGCACCAAAACTTACCAAAATAGTGGTACAGAGGCACCTTGGACAGTTTATTTCAAAGTACAGAAGTCTTCTGAGAAATAAAAAGTAGTTCCAAAATCTCTATTCAATATTTTTTGTAGGGTAGGGTGACAAACGAGCACACAGCCCACCTGATGGTAAGTGGTTGCTGTGACCCATAGACTTCTACATCTATCTTCAATAAATAATCAAAATGCCTCTTTTCCAATAAAAAGGGTCTCCGATTCTCTACACTCACCATACGAAACACATTATTATATATTTTAATAGAAGAATTAGCTCGAGAAACCGTCAACCGATGGGGAAGAAAGGTTCTCGAGTGGCCTCACACCGGTAGACGAAGTGTGGGGCGATCTCCCACTAGATGGAGTGACGACCTAGTAAGATATGCAAAAAGTCGATGGATGCAACTGGCTCAGGACCGTGCTTTGTGGTATTCCTTGGTGGAGGCCTATCTTCAGCAGTGGACTTGTGAATGGCTGTAATGATGATGATGATAATGATGATTATATTTTGAGGACGTGCTAACACTTTAAGGCTCGAAAGTTGAAGGTGCAAATTGTATATCAGTTGCTATTGGTAGAAAAATTACCAACGTTGTTTCAATGATCAATGTTGTAATAGGGCTTCTGCCATAAGAAAATTACATTTATCGTTCAAATCTGAATAACTGTTTTTATTGCACAACATGGTCTATTTGTTCTTCGATATGAGGTGCTTGAAACTACCTTGACATGATTCGCCATGTACGAATAATATGCTCCATCTATAAAAATCTAAGAATCTATACTTAGAATACTATTTTTATCGAGTGTATGTATAAATGTATTGTTTATGTTTATTGTAATGTATTGTCTTTTCCCTTGTTGATCTCCTGTGGTCTAAACGGATTTCGAAGTGAGCGGTTGCAAGTTTGCTTTCGCCCCTAGAGTGTCTACTTTTAGGATTTACTTCTTTAAGACTGGGTGTTCCAAGCGCACTAGGTATTTACAGGCGGTCGTCGCAAAGATCGTGTCGGGCCGCGCATATGATCGTGATTTTTACAAAATAATCACAAAAATATTGTTTTAAAGTTATAAATAAATAATTACACAATGAGAAATAAACACACAAACAAAAGCTTAACTATAGTCTATATAAGTAACTAGTTATTTACAATTTATTTTATTTCTTAAATATTATTTATGTAGTAGAAGAGAATCGCGTGCGCAAAAATTTAGTACAGGTTACCTCGGCAACGTCTCGCGGGACAGTGGCAAGTGGCAACCGACGCGCGGATCGAAAATCACTTGCATAATCAATATTTTTATTTAATAAATGTGATGAAAAACAAAAAACAATCGCATATAATCGATTCGAAAATGAATTACCTATAAATTGATATTTTTTATAGAAATAAAGGAGTATTATTATATTAGTGCTTGTTTAAAATTAAATTTGGCTTAAAAAAAACTGCAGATCGAACGTAGTTCGGTAATTTTTTCTATCGAGAAAATTGTATTGTATCGTGTTTAGATGGGGTGCATCGTGAGGTAAATGTATCTATAATTTTTTTTTTGAGATTGTAAATGTAATAATTTGCCTATCAAAAAGTCAAAAACCAATTCTAAAACGGACAAAAACAGGAACACCCTTAAGAAAGTTCTTAAAGTAACAAAATAAGATACTTATTAAAAAGTATTCAATATGTTGTATTTTAGTTTAATAATAATTTACTGTGAGTTTATTTTTTTTTTATAGCATAAGGGTGACAAACGAGCACACAGTACACCTGATGGTAAGTGGTTGCTGCGGCCCATAGACATCTACGTCTATCCTCGTTTGCGAATCAAAATGCAGATGCGTTGCCACCCGTGAGGACTAAGATGGAATGCCTCATTTCCAGTAAAAAGGGCCTCCGGCCACCTGCACTCACCAAGCGAAACGCAGAGGCAAACCTCTACTTCACGCTGGTATTCTGTGAGGTCGTGGTACCACCCCGGTTCGAGCCGGCCCATCCGTGCGACAGCAAAAGCTGCCGCGTGGCTCTACCACTGTTTAATTAACTGTTTTATTGTGGTATTTTAAATTGGTTTAAATTTTTGCGCTTGCGTTCTTATGAGCATCAAATAGTGTTTCTAATACAGTATATATTTTGCGTGTGACTGTGATTGTACCTACCAATTGAAAAACTACGGAATAAAATGATTTTTTTATTGCGATTTAATAGCTGATAACGTACATACCGATTGCTTTGCTATTGTTGAATCAAGTTTACGCTGTTTAATACTTTGTTACTTTTAAAAAGAAAAATCATTGCAAATATAACGGAAATTTTATTGTTTCTATAAACATTCAAAATTGTGTTAAGAAAATTTTCTTACTTTTCATTCTAGTATTAATGTAAGTACTTTTAAATTCAATTTGTCTGAGAATGATAATAATCAAATAACCTGACTGAGATGGACTATTTATGGCAAGGACTCGTATAAATAGTTGACTTGTTATGAATACAGCTATTAATAAAACGCTATTTTTTTATTAATCTACTACGATGATTTGCAACCTAGAAGCTGCTTTACATGGCGGTGGGTGTTCAAACATCTGTCGAAGACTACTACTAGGTTATTCTGCCATTTAGTTCATATTTTATTTTATGGGACGAGATGTGTTGATGTTTTTTTTGGAATGAAGTTCCTTATCGGACGGTACGAGTTTGGCGGATGGGGGCCAGGCGAGATATTTTTTCCGTCACGACCCCTTCTGACGTAGTGTAGACGGCCGTAGCGGCTATAAGGAAGCGAGATAGAATAATATCCAACTCCCTCGCATCTTGCCATGAAAGAAATGTTATTTTATTTTAAATGCCGGTTTATTTTAACAAACCTAGCGTCTAATTAATTCATTTATTTTTATTCGTTAATCAATAATATAATACGTTTATCAATAATAATATACCTACTACGAAAGGAACTTCGTTCCAACTGAGTGTTCCACGACACTCACGCATGTTTTATTTCTTTATAGAATAAGGTGATATGCTAGTACGCACTAACTTTAGCCCATAGACATAAAATCGAAACATTAAAAAGGTTTTCCGATTATCTACACTCACCTTAAGGTCGGCCACATACATACGCAATTCCGTTTCGGCATTCCGTTTCGGAATTCCGATTTGAGATTCCGAACGCAGCAATTTCATATAAAATCTATGATCTGTTTCCGTTCGAAATTTTGCGGGCAAAACAGGATTCCGTATGTATGTGGCCAACCCGTTCGCAATTCCGAAACTGAATAATAAGTATTTTTTTTAGTATTCTTAATGTTATTCACGTAAATATTATTCCTCTTGCAGGCTGGGATGTGGGGGATAACGAAAAGTTGCCATTCCTCCGCAATGAACCGGTGAAGTTGACGCCCGCTTGGGAGGGTTCCAACCTTCCGAATGACACCCTCAACTTGAAAGGTATAGTCATATTTTTTATTATTTTTTGGCATTTATATGTCGCCGCTCTTCGGTCATTAAATGGAATCTAGTAATGATCTAATCCGCTATTACATAGTAATATTTGTAATTTCATTATTCCATATAAAATAACTAGAAGGGGAATAGTTATTAGGTACACTGTTGTAAAGGATCAATTATAAAATATTTTATTATAGGATAGAGTGACAAACGAGTCCACCTGATGGTAAGTGGTTGCTGTGATCCATAGACATCTACATTTATCCTCAATGAAGAATCAAAATACAGATGCGTCATCACCCGTGCGGACTAAGATGGAATGCCTCTTTTCCAGTAAAAAGGGTCCCCGGTTCTCTACACTCACCATACGAAACACAGCCGTGTTAAGCTGCTATTTTACCACCATGTTAGCCATGCTGCAGCTATATTAATAGTATAGTTTTAGTACGAATGGGTCGGCTCGACCGGGTAAGGACCACGTTATCACAGAATACTAGCGTAAATTGGTGGCTTAACGCTGCTGTTTTGTATGGTGAGTGTAGGAAACCGGAGACCCTTTTTACTAGAAAAGGGGCACTCCATCTTAGTCCTCGCGGGTGACAACGCATCTGCATTTTGATTCTTTATTGAGGATAGATGTCTGTGGGTCACAGCAATCGCTTACCATCAGGTGGACTGTGTGCTCGTTTGTCACCCTATCCTATATTAAAAAAAAAATCAATAATGAAATGCTATTATTTTTAATGACTCCTTCGCCAGTGTAAGCTTCGGACGAATGTGCGCAATGTGGTTGCAACAATATGGATCCACTAGGAAAAATGTAATTTGCCTTCTTACTTTTTGATATGCATCCTAAAATCCAATCTAAAAATCATGTACACCAATGTACAATTATGTTACACCAATTAGCTACAATTTACAATGGGTTATCGATTTGAGTTTTACAATTTAACTGCATTCGATTGCGATGCAAGTTATGGTTAGATTTTTATGGTGTAGTTAAATTTAATCTCTGGTATATATATAACAGAACTGCGGTAGAAGAGGTTGATTATTATAAAGATATATGTGTTTATCTAGTTTCGTTTTAGTGCGAAATGTTATCTTTGAGGAAAGGTGATTGACTTATATAAATAGTTTAGAAGCCAAGGTTCCATTATTTGTTAAGACTTGTGGCAAACAAATATTTTTATTTTATTTTTATTTATTTGTTCATTTCAGTCACTAAAAAATTATTTTACTTATCGCAATGAGCTTCGCAAGAAAATGACAGTAATGAACCAATTCGTTTCGATTCCAGGTATTGCTATGGACTTGGCGCCACCGAAAGACAAATGGAACCTCATCTTCCTGACTCTGATACTCCATGGCTTGGGTACCCTGACCGCGTGGAATATGTTTATAACTGCAAAGGATTACTTTGTTGTGTACAAATTGGCCAACGCGCCTTTCTACGCCAAGGGTTTCTTGCCTTATGTCGGTTGGGCGTGTCAGACACCCAACCTACTGTTTAGCTGGTTCAACGTCTTCGTCAAGATCGGGTAAGCAGAGGATTTAGTTATTTTTATTAATATATTCCCGTAACATATATGTAATAAAAAATAAGGTCATTTTTTATTATTTTTTTATTTTTTGTTATATTCATACCAGTTAAAATACAGCCCTAAAGTTTATCCATCCATCCATTACAGCTTGTAAAAGTACACTGCTGTACTTGGGCCTCCCCCATAGATTGCCTAATTGCAACCGGAGTTCTTTATTAATTTGATTTGTTATTAGAAAGATACTGCTGCCCGTCACCTGTTCCAATTCCCCTCTGGATATTCTTACACCGCCACTACACGGTATCTAAAATTTATAAAAACACAAGTGGTAAATTTAAAAATTTTGTACAACCTACTTCAATGTAAATTATTAAAGGTAACTTAAAAAGAGTAGGTAAGCGTAGGTCAGACCTTGATCAAATTTATTTGAGACCATTCGAGAAGAACTAGCTCTCAAATAAAAAAGAATCATCATAGTCGATTCACCTAGAAAAAATTTATGAAGTAACATTCATTAAAAAAAATACAGTCGACAGTCCTTGTAGAAGTCAGTTAAAGTGAATAGGAACAGACCTAAAAGTAACTAAAGCGTGTATTTATAAAAAAAAACTTACGCCTCAAGTGGTCGTCTACGTAGGCGGCGTCGGCTGCTTGAAATATCTTCGACTACGGTCACAGATTAAGTAATGGTTACACGTTTTCACGTTGTAGAGCCACGCCTGCAGCTATACTCTTTGTAGCACGAATGGATCGGCCCGACCGGGGTAGGACCACGCTCTCACAGAATACCAGCTTAAAATAACTCAATGCTGCTGTGTTACGTATGGTGAGTGTAGAGAACCGGAGCCTTTTTTACCGGAAGCGAGGCATTCCATCTTAGACCGTAGGGGTGATAACGCATCTGAAAAAAACATTTTTTTTATTTGAAATTGTCTATCCGACTTTTTCTCGCGTTGTGTGATTTTGAACATTTTTAATTAAGTATTGTAATTGTTGTTCTGTTAGTGGCGAACTAATAGATTAATAATATTTAAAAAAATAATAATAACGACGAAAAGTAATGAGGTAGTTAAGGAAGATATTAAAGACCTATCTTATGTATTTTTTTTTCTGTTAGTTTAGCGTAAATCAGCATATCTGAGAAATAAATATATTTTTAAAGTACATTACCCTTAGACATATGTCATTCATTCATTCCTAGTGACCCGATCATTCATGTATTGATTCGTCTTACGAACCGGGTCATTCGGGTCGATCGTTCAAATTCGAGTTTCGGCACTCTGAGATTTGTGAGACCTGCTCGATAATCATCGGACGTTACTATACTCTTTGGTCGTAAATCCTGTCAATCGTTTGATACGGAACGTTTAAAAAATGTAATTGCAATCATCAATACTTTTATGCGCCCTCGTGAAATGAACGAATCACTCACTATTGACACATGTGTAATTACCTATAAAATAATGACGTTGTGTGTCGTCGTATTTGTTGGTATAGAATATAGATATCAAGAGGGAAAGATAGATATTTGAAAAACATTACATATCTCCTTAGGTTAATCCTCTTCCCCACTATCCAACGCAGTGATTTTTCAATCTCATTGAATTATCACATTTCAACAGTGGGTAAATGATATTGCGTTACTAAAACACTTGCAGGTTTTATAGATAAACTTGTGAGCACCTAAGTTTTGCTACATATCTCTTATTAGTACTTCTTTAATAGCTTAAAGAAATAGTTGATACGTCTTTAAATTCCTTATTATAATTATACCGCGGTTGATTTCTTGATCTCTACAACGCCACCTACCGGGTCCAATTGTGAATCTAAACCATTTTCTATTAACTTAATCACACACACAAAATTTCATCAAAATCGGTCTAGACGTTTAGGAGGAGTTCAGTCACATAAACACGGACAGAAGAATTATATAAAATTGCATGTAGTTACTTACTTGTAAACCTTCCTCTTAAATGATTCTGTCTATTGATGAAAATCGCATCAAAATCCGTTGCGTAGTTTAAAAGGTCTAAGCGTACAGACACTTGCGTACTTTGTAATAAAATAATTATATTTTAATAAATTGGTACCAGGAGACCAGGAGCGGCCTCGTCCTTTTACTGCAAAAGCAAAAATTATTATTATCCATAGTCAACAGTTCCAATAATCATTTGAAATATAATCTAACATTTTTTATTCTAAAGTGTAGTAGTTTAGAGGATCTAAGCGCTCTCTGTAAGTATCATGGCACCAATGAAATTATTAATTGCATTTTTAAGTATGTACTGATTTGCGATGAAAGGAAACATCTTGAGAAAACCTGCATGTCTGAGAAAAAAAAAATTGAGGGCATGTATGTTCCGTCAATACGCATGGCATAATTGTTCCATAAAGCTCTCAGAAATGAGAGGAGCCTTGTGCCCACAAGGCTCCTCTCATTTCTGAGAGCTGGGAAGTATTACGGCTTTAACTTTCATTGTTTTATTCTTTACCCATTCTAAATTTAAATAAAACTACTTTTTGCGGATTTTATCACGTATGTTAACTTATTTTATATTCCCGACGTTTCGAGCACCATGGGTGTTGTAAGCACCGTGGGTGATGTAAACCCATGGTCACGGGGTACTGAGGTGTACGACGTCCTTATGTCATAGTTAACGGCTACCTTGAGATAAAAGTTATTAATTTTTGTTCCGATCTACGCATTATGAACTTATAGTATATTGTGAAGTCTCCCAGTTGTATGTCCGGGTTGGGATTTAATTTTATTAATTAAGATCCCAAGCAGACAGTAGCACCTAGCCATCTTTATTGAAATTGGGATGTTCTTTGATTTCAATAGCCTTGCGAATCATCCTTGGAAGGAATCAGTGTTCTTTAGCAAGGACTTGTGGTCGGTAAAATCCGTAAAAACTAGTTTTATTTAAATGTGTAATGTTTGCGTAAGCATAAGAAGTCGTCATACTAAATTTGTTGATATCTTACTTACAATGTTGCACCATTGTCATTCAAATAAATTTGGCCTATTTTCTACCGACTTTAAAAAGGAGGAGGTACTCAATTCGAGTGTATGTTTTTTATGTGTGTTACCGCATAACTTTGTTCTACGTGAACCGATTTCGATGATATAAATTTGATCAAGGTCCGACCAAAAGTTTTTGAGTTATCGTTAATAAAATATATATTGAACATTTTTACATACAACATAATTATACATTTAATATGTTGGTTGTACAAAATTTATAATTTTAAATTATTTAAAAAAAACTTTTTATGTTTACAGTGGCAACTTGACCACGCGTATCGTATGGTCGCTGATAATGGAGGTGTTGGTGTTCGTGGTGACTGTGATTTTGGCGATGGTCGACAGCAGCGAATGGCCCGTAACATTCTTTTGGATCACGCTCGTCTCCGTTTTTATACTAAACGGTGAGATACTTTGCTATTATGTACTCTGTTATTCGTGTGTATCAATTTCGGAAAATTATGGTATTTCGTAAAATTCGTTCTTAGCTTACCTCCACTCGGCGAAAGGAATATTTCTACCAAATTTCAAGTATTTAGGCCAGGTATGTAGGTCAGTACATAGGTCTCTTATACATGATGTCCCAGAAGTGGACGTCAAGCCGGAATCGGTAGATAGGTCAAGTCATAATAGTTAACAGAAAAATATAAAAAAATCTTTGCTATGTATTTTAAAAATTACAGGCATATATAAAAAAACGAGAAAGTCTTTTAACTCCCGTTGCTACAAATTTTAACTTTTTCCCTCCGGCGGATGAAGTGTAGGGCGTCCCCCCACTAGATGGAGTGACGACCTGGTAAGACATGCAGGAAGTCGATGGATGCAGGTGGCTCAGGACCGTACTTTGTGGCATTCGTTGGGGGAGGCCTATGTTCAGCAGTGGACTTGTGAAGGGCTGTAATGATGATGATGATGAGGTTTTTCTGAATCAATTGTAGAAGTAAAGAGCTACTCTCAACAACATAATTTTGTAATCTGAGTTGAATAACCATTACCATTCTAGCCTATCAAAAGTCCACCGCTAAACATAGACCTGCCTCATAGATAACTTCAAATTCAAATTCAAAATAATTTATTTGTAAAACATAGGTAAAAAAGTTACAAGCTTGGTGGAAAATGAATGGTAAGTATCACTATGTTTCGCCTTAGAAGGCATACAAATATTTGGTTAACATGATCATGCATTACTAATATAAATATTGATTAACATTACAATTTCAATAATAATTAGTATGTTTAAGAAAAATTGCATAAATTATTGTTTTTATTATCTATTACCTAATTCTTAATAACATAATGATAAAAATATAATAAATAAAAATATAATAAATAGATCGGACATTAATTGTAGGTGCTAAAAACTATTCATTTTGTCATCAAAATATTCTTTAATAGAGTAGTATGCTTTTTCTATTAAAAAACTCGAAAGCAATTTCTTAAATTCGTCTATGTTATCTGTCTCTTTGATGTTTTTTGGGAGTTTATTAAAAATTTTAGGAGCCATAGCCAGGAAACTTTTTGAATATAGCGCTGTTTTGTGAGATTTAATACGCAATGTGTTTCTGTGACGTTTACTATTAGTGGTTTCAAATATGCTAAAATGTTTCCTAACAAACATTGCTACTTCGAATATATATAAAGATGGCAGGGTTAGTATGTTAAGGTCAATGAAATGCGATTTGCAACTATCTGTAGCCTGCAACCGGCATACTGCTCGTAAGCATTTCTTTTGCGCTTTAAAAACTAATTCGCGTCCTGTGGAGTTTCCCCAAAATATTATACCATATCTCAATGTTGAAGAGACGTATGCATGGTATGCGGTTATGACTGTTTCACGATTTGTTATCTTTAAAAGGTTATGTAGTGCATAGTGGTATTGATTTATCTTTTTTATTATGTGTTCAATATGTTTATGGCCATAGTTGGCCAATATCGCTCCTATGAAGTTATGCCAATGGTTTCTCAAATTAATTGGTACTCCTCAGCCAACTGAACAGTTCTACATCGAGGTTCTCGTGACGTATTTTGGAGACTTAACGCCGCAAGGGCAAACATAGTGGTCCCGTGGGTGTCGTAGAAGGCGACTAAAGGATATACCACAAAGGTCTTATGGCTTTCTAGGCGTATTTTACTAAGACCGGCGACGGGAGCATCGTCAAAGGTGCGAGACGTCTAGATCTGTTATCGCTGATCTGTCCGTTAAACGTGGTGATTTAGAAAAATCGTCTTTACTATCAGAGAAGCCCGAATACCGGCGTAAAATAGCAGTAGCAATGAGTGTAGAGAACTGGGGACCCTTTTTACAGGAAAAGAGGCATACCATCGTAATCCAACATGACACGGTGACAAAGCATCTGCATTTTGATTCTTAAGTGAGGATAAATGTCGATGTCTATGGGCCACAGCATCCACTTACCATCAGGTGGGCTGTGTGCTGGCTGGTTTGTCAACCTCCTTCTATAAAAAAAAAACCAAAAGAAGAAGAATAAGGCAATTGACCATTAAATTTCTTCTCTGTTAGTTTTAAATTTAAAAAAATAATTTGAAATATGTTATATTTATCATTCGTAAAGTATTATGTTGTCTTAGATAAGTAAACTAATGTTTAATATTTCTTTTTTACAGCATTCAATGCAGTGTTCCAAAATTCCGTGTACGGTGTTGCAGCACGTCTACCGCCGCAATACACGGGCGCGGTGGTCCTAGGTTCGAATATTTGCGGCACACTAGTTGTACTTCTCAACTGGCTCTCCGAAACCTTCACGACCAGCTACCGCACGTCGGCTATATACTACTTTATAGCCGGAATGTTCGTGTTACTGATCTGCTTTGACACCTACTTCGCATTGCCTTTGAATGTAAGTACCCATATAATCGCTATTGTCATAAAAAAAACATGATTTATATTTGAATATCATGTTAAGTTATTACAGTGCCATAATTCCACTAAAATGGTATATTAAATATTTTTGAGTACCTTAGAACAGTTGTATATTAGTAATAATTTTTATGTTAAAGCGCCATCTGTTGGTGACGAAAATTTAAAACATATCGTGGGTCAATATTGAAAAAATATACAAAATATTTATTTATATAATTTGAAATATGAATTTGGCGCATTTTTATTGTTAATCTTTTTAACACCAAGTATAAGTTTAGCTGTTTTAATAAATTAATAAACATATTTAAAAATAAAGTTCTGAATCGCGATATTAAAGTTTTCGTGTTTCGTTACTATATATATATACACTGTCAGATAGTAGTTGAGACTAATGTAACAATAATACGAAGCCTTCTACATGTTATTAAAATAAAATATTAATAATTTAATTAATTAATTAATTAATTAATTAATATATGTGTAATGATCTAATAACTTTAATTCTGTTTCCCACTTTCCAACGCAGTGACGTGATCTATAAGTTAGATGACGTCATATTTAATATTTAGTGGGTACATCAAAGCTTTACTAAAACACACGCAATATTTCTTCAATAAATTTGTGTGCACCTAAGTTTCGCTACAAAATAATTATTTTGGATTATAATTTTTTTATAAATTTTAATATTACACTCCATTTTAAAAAGAGTTTGCTTTAGTACCAAACATTTTGATTGTCATGTATTTTCTTTACACAACTTTGTTTTAAAAATTACTTGTGTAATTACTTTTTATTAGTGTGCATTTCAGAAATTTTTAACGCTCTAATAATTTTAATAACAATAATAATTTACAGAAAGTTATTAAATATTTTTTTAAATGATACAGTATTAAGATAAAACAGTAAAATTTGGTGTATTTAAGATTTCTGCGATTGCTAACCCGCCCGCAATGAATGCTAATAATATTCCGCTCACTAGACGTCGCTAGTTTCACGCACAATTTCATTTAATTGAGAAGTTAGTTTTAAATAAAAGTTTATCAGTTTCTAGAGTATTATACACAAGACAATGTCTCAGTGGTTTGCTCTTTAATTTTTTTGCACATTTTACCTCTTTTTTTTTATTTTCTCCTTTCCTCTCCTAATTTATTTTAAACTAAAAATAAACATTAACCTTTACATTATTCGAACAAATTAACTTCCCCCTTATGAAATCTGTCAAATATTTACATTTCATTTTTAGTGGCACCGCCCTGGCGCCAGAAAAATTCGTGGATGCCCTCATTTAGGCAGAATTTCACTTAGGAGTAAATCTATGTCGTAGGCTGGTAGTCCGTATTTTATATATGCTTCCAAACATGTAACATAAACATTTCAATCCTGAATTTTCTTCCTGGCACTTTTAGTCACTGAAATGAATCCATATAAGTATCTGGATTTCTATGCTAAAATATGCTTGGATTGTTTTCACAGATACGGGTTTGTATTTCGTACTTGTATTCAATATTGTACAACCACTAACAAATGTCACTGATAGGTGTTCTAACATTAATATTTTTATTTCCAGAGATTCTACCGCTACCATGAAACACTTCAAGAAAGAACGATGCGTGTGAATCCGGCTTTAGCGGCGACAGCGAATCAAAACGCGAGTCCTGCAAAACAACGCACTCCCTATGGTACCATCTTCAAGCAGTCTTGGGTTCAACTTTATAATGTGTTCATCATCTTCTTCGTTACTCTCGCTGTTTTTCCAGAGGTTCATTCTAGTAAGTTTTTTTGTATATCTAGGCTTAAACTCTTTAGACCTTATAATAATGAATCAATAATGATTTTTATTACTTATATTAATATAATAACCAAAAATATTTTAGAATTCTTTTTATGTACATGTTTTTTATGTTTATTACATAAGTCCTTATATTTTTACAGATATTGAGCCTATAACACCAAATTTCCTTGGACATAATTTCACAAAACTTACCTGCTTCCTCACTTTTAACCTCACAGCGATGATTGGGAATCTAACAGCCAGTTGCTGGCAGTTTGTAAGTATATATCATTTATTATTTCTCTTAGTAGTAGTAGCTCTGTATCTGTTTTCTACCGACTTCAAAAAGGAGACAGTACTCAATTCGACTTTTATGTTTTTTTATGTCTGTTACCTCTTAACTTTTTACTGGGTAAACCGATTTCGATGATTCTTTTTTTATTTGAAAGCTGGTGCTTCATATGTGGTCCCATATAAATTTGACAGTCTGACCATAAGTTTCTGAGTTATTCTTAATAATATATATTGAAGTCGGTTGTACAAAATTTTAAATTTTAAATTATTGTTACTGAAGTTGTTAATTATGTATTTGACACCAGTCAATTGGAATAGTTTTAAAAGAGTTTTCATAACAAATATTGCTTAGAAAATGTATGAGAGCATAGTGTAATAACGTCATAGTTTTAGAGTTAAATAACCCTATTTGTATACTTTTTAATACTCAAAATTTTATTTAAATATTATTTAACTTAAAACGAAATAACGAACACGTTTTATTCGCTACTGAAATTAGCAGATTCGAAGTACCTATATGGTGTAGTAATTTATTAATGATAATGTCATATCAAACAATTAAAGTAAAATGTTGTATATAGGTTTAGTATGGTTAAATATTTCCAGTCACCAGAATCACATACCTTTACTGCTCAATCAGTAAAGGTACGTGATGAACCTCTCAGAAATCTGAGACGGCTTATATCCACCTATGGGACCATATAAATGTTATTATTTTACTTCAGAATTTTTCTTTCCTATTTATGGTAAAAAGCTTGGCGGGCGGTTGATGAGTCGTCGCCTTTGAGTTCGAATGCACATTCAAAACATTAGTAAATTAGGATTTTGTTCGTGTTGTTCTATCGCCATGTTAAATCCACTTCCAACGCAATGACGTCACTGATCTACAGTTTCGTGAATATAAAAACCGTGGATACATCAGAGCTCTACTAAAACAAACACTTATTTCATAAATAAATCTTAGAATTATTGTTATTGCAGATTGATAATAACTACATTATATAAAAGCTTTTAGAAAAATTTACTAAATATAATGGATTTCCGCAAAGTAACGCCTGATTCTATTTATTATAATAAGTACATTATATATTTTAAAAAAAACCTATTTAAACATATTAAAATACTACATAGCTGATAAAAAAACAATGATTGCATATCTTGACAGTATTGGTAATCAGAATATTGCGTAAACTTTTTAGCCAAGCCCACGATGGCTGTCCATCTTCACGACAATAAGACTGGTGTTTATTCCACTGTTCCTGGTGTGCAACTTTATCCCGGCGGAGAGAACTCTGCCAGTATTGGTTAGGAATGACTGGTTGTACTGGTTTTTGGCTGTAATACTCGGCTGGAGCTCGGGCCATGGCAGCTCTCTAGGCATGATGTATGTTAGTGGGTGAGTATTTTTTAAATATTCTAATTATAAATAAGTCGTAAATAATAGGTTTATTGCATGCCATATTATGGCACTTAAATGGCGGCCTACCTCATGCCATTTCACTCGCTTATTCTTTGCATCTCTGTCTCAACCTGTATAGGGAGAAAAAATAGCCAATCAGTTTGGTTTTTGAAATTTGATCTTGCAGTCGCAGTTCACTTTCAAATTGAACGTTTTGTTGAATGTTTACAATTTCTATCAAGTTTTATAATTTTTATTATTGTTAATTGAAGTCATAGTTAAAATGTCGTGTCTTAATAAGTTATTAATATTTACTTGCATAACTTCAATAACAACGAAACTGGCCAAAATTAAGATATTTACATAACTAATAAAATTTATTCTTTCATTTATTTATATTAATAGTGGATATGATATGAATATTTTTTTGCTGTCTACTTAAATAAGTACTTTCCATCATTTATGATTCTATTATTTTATGGCACGCGTTATATGTATTTCATTCATTAAACTTTGATTATAATCTGCGACACAGACAATACATACTTGGACTCGGTAGTAGCTCGGGCGGTAGCTGACTGCGGCGCTGTATTTATCTCTGTACAATTTATTACGTAAATAAAACACCTACGCAAAAAAAAGGGGGAAACCCTATTGTAAGAGTATTGCTTTTAAAAAAATGAAAATTTAACAGTTCTCATTAGCAATTGAAGCCGCAAATATTCGCAACCTTATGAAAAAAAAGTGATAAAGATATTTTCTACATTTCTAAAATGCCAAATAGATTTAGGCAGCAAGTGAGACAGTTCTGCACTAGTAATAGTAATCTTTATCTTTATTATATATACAGAGTTATTTTACAATAACCAGCCAAATTTGAAAAGCTGGTTCAGAATAAGTAATATAGGCAAATGGTGAAGAAAATTTATTTAAAAAAATCTCAAACATTCTGTCCGTGTGCAGTAAAATCAATTAAAATAATGCATAAATGCCACCACACCCATTGCCACACCATTTGCCTATATTATTACTTATTCTGAACCATCTCTGCAGATACGGCCGGTTATTGCAAAATAACTCTGTATATAATACCTCTGTATGTGTTTGTGACTAAAATCCTCTTAAACGGCTGGACCGATTTTGATGAAGTTTTGTGTGTGTGTGTGTGTCAGAGTGGGTCCCAGAATTGTTTTCACAGTTGGACCTGGTAAGTGGCGCTGTTGTGAAGATTCAGAAATCATCCAAGCGAAGCCGGGGCGGATCGCTAGTAGTTATTACGATTCTCAAAATGATCTATTGATTATATTAGCAACATCATCTGAGTACAGTATAATCTAAGTTAAACAAACTATCATTGCAATAATGATTTATTTTTTCAGAACTGTAGCTCCTGAGCACGCATCCACAGCTGGCATGATTGGTGGAGCGATGCTTGTCACGGGCATAGTAGCTGGGATCACATTCTCGAGCATCTGCAGAACCCTTGTATCTTTAGATGTTTGGAGGTCTCTCTAGCGGATATTTTCACATGCTGGGACATTCTGGAATGTTCTCACTAGAGGTGTAGGACATTGATTTATGCCTAAAGTGATTTGAGTGACAAGTAAAGTGTTTAATATTACATTAAATGTGGCAGTGTTTCTAGGTTATAAAGTGAAACCATACTGCAGGCAGATTTAAGGGAGTACAAATTGTTATTCTGGGTGGGGAAGGGTTTGTTACTTGGTTGCTTAGTTTGACAAGGAAGTAAGACTAAATAACCATTTAATTACCTTTTAAGTGAACCATATTAAAGAAATATGATTAATTTCTAAATTGAATAATATCTAACATTGTCATTTGACATAACTTTACTTTATTCGTATTTATTATTCGATTTTTAGAATGAGTAGTTATGATGAAAATGAATATAACATTGTTGGTAATACTATTTAACAAAGTATATGACATATACAATTGTATCGACGTAATTGTAAATTATTTTAAAAAAAGTGTTACAAATATAAATTTAACCATTTGTTTACGAATTTTTTTCAAAGTTTAAAAATATTAACAGTTTCCACATATTAGCATTTTTTATCCCGCAGGTTACAAGTTATTTTTATGATTCATAATATATACACAATTATCCAATAAGTATATAATAATTATTGTTTCATTATTATGTAACATAGTATATCTGAAATATACTAAAATATAACAAAATTCTATAAAATAATTAGGATTGTATTTAGAATCAAAACAGTAACACATTATTTATATGGGTAAAAATTACTAAATTTATACAAATTGTTCAAGTTTGTAAATGCTAAGCTGTTATATAAAATAGTTTTAGTTAAATAGTTTCAGTGATATATACAGTCTTTTGCTATTCATTGCAATAAAAAAATAACTCAACACAATGACATTTGTAAATATGTTCTTTTTAAAGAGTTATTCACCACATTACTTCTATAAATATAAATCTAAAGTTCTGTTATATCAAAGTATTCTAAGTTTGTACTAAATTGCAATTTAATTGCAGAAATACGCACAGTCTCAATTCTTTAAATTTGATTGTTTGATTTTTTTTAATAATTTTAATATTCAGTAGGTTAGTATTGAAAAATGAATGACGATTCAACTTTTGCTGCTAAAGCATATTATTATCAACAAGCAACTTGCTATTAAAGAAACTGACGGCTAAAGACAGATTTTGTTAGAATGCACCTCAAGCAAGTACTAATATTGCTTTTTGCGAAAGTCTTCGAGTCAAGACTTAAAGGGAAGATGAATCTAATTACCCACATCTATCTTATTGTAAAGATGTTTAGGCTAGAAGAGGTCAACAAGGAAAAGAAAAACACAAAAGAATTACTAGGCTTGGTTAATAGGAGGAATGTGTAAGAAATAAATAATTATTTTTATCAACTTATAACATCTGTTCAAGGGTCTTATCAAGTACTTTTGGATGGCCTAAAGGTCTAGATACCAGGCCATAAACTCCAAAAAAAAAAAGTACTTTTGGACATGGATTTTCTTGATCCTAGATTGGTTCTCCCTTAATTCATCATAATCGACATATATGTCAGGTGGAATAGTGATGATAGTACCATACATATGTTGCACACTGCCAGTTGTAATATAAACTATATATAAATAATTTCAACACGAATTAGAGAAAGTTCCCTCTTTGTTGCAGTTTTAACATTGGACGATTTTTGTTATTGGATGTTTCCTCTAAGTCGTAACGACTTTGTCGCTGCACAACAGTTATTTGCTATGTGAACTGTAGTATAGAAAAACTGCTAACAACAGATAATTGTGCTGTGCTATATTTGTACAGCTTCACATATATATAAACCATAACGGTTTGAAGAGGATGACTTATCTTTGTTACTGCTCATCGGGAACTAGATCTAATAGCTTTTAACACCAAAGAATCATCGCATTTGTGAGGTTATTACCAGTTTTAGTAGATAGTGTACTCTAGCCATTAGTATAAACATCATATACACCTTCCTGTTGGTTCATTAATACAATTTCAACAGCTTTTCTATATATATTTGTTTGCAAAAACTAGTAAACAATTGAATTTAATTCAATATTAGAAATGATTAAATAATTTATTTGGAAATTGTTTCTATTATTTGTGGTTTAATAAAGTAGAAATTGAGTCGTCATTTAGACAACAATTGTGAATCCTAACAATTTTAAAATTATGTTTGACAGACTGATCCACTAACATTGTTTTTACTATTATATGTTAACAGCAAAAATGATAAATGTTTTGAACATATTTGACAAAAATAGTAAATATGTGTAATTTCTCGAACATGTTCTAAAGGACCCACTTTACATAAAATTTGCATGTGCAAGTTTGTTGAATGTGTATTACACTGCCATTAGAAGATTTTACTTCAGTATGAGATCGAAAATTTTAATATCATGTTATTTTGAACAAATTATGTATGTATTGAGTGTAATTTTGTTTTTCCGTAAAGCGAGTCGATTTTTTTGTTTATTTAATTGATAGTAAAGGTTTTTTTTCATTTTGTTATTTTATTTTTTCCTTTTGAGTGCAAAATATAAAATTTGACATTATATATGTAGAAGCACAATGAGTAGATAGGAAGACGGCAATACATGGGAACATTTATACTATGTAGTCTGGTATGGTTATATAATTGGAATTGCTACGACAAAATTATGATAATAATATATATATATATATATATATGTATATATATTCTTATCATCTTTTTTGTAATACATTAAAAGTGGATAAACATTTAAACCGTCCAAGCTTGCTCGAATGTTTAGTGTTTCATTAACTTCTTCTGTTAACTTGATTATAGTTTATAAAAAAATACGCGACTGTTCGTGCGGGTTGTTATTCACTGCCAAAAATACCTACGATTTTGACACATTTTGTGCTTTAGTTTAGTTCAACAACATAAATAATATTAGCATTAAAATAATAGGATTTCATTCTAAGTTCCTAAATAATTACGTCATTTGTAGAAGCTTGTGGTATTGGCAACTTGAAAGATATTAACACTTGTCGTAGCAGTCATCTTTAGAGAATATTAATTAATGTTATAGAATGATCGTGTAGGCAGTGTTTTTAATACTAATTATTGTACCCTGGTGCCTTATCCAACCTCTGTTGATTTAAATCATTACATTTATAACGAGCAAACTAACATACCCATATTCTTTTAGGCTGGTTTCACAGCTGTACGGGTAGCGCCCGCAGTGCTCTGAAACAAATGTTTAGTACGATACGGGTGCTAGCGGAAGACAGTCGCAAATGAAAATGAATGCGAACGTATTAAAAATTCTTGGTATTTATTTGATTTGTGAGAGACGACGACAGATAAAGAGAAAGAGACTATGGGTACATCCCGTCATCGATGTAAGAGATTTTTCTTCGGGCGACACACCTTCGAATATCTCTTCACAAATGTCTTCCCACGTTCGAGCCCGAGCATCTTTGTTCTTATAATTTATATTTGAAGCATCCCATAAACAGGGTTTACTTTGTACTGCGTCTATGACAAATCCCGTGTCAATTAATCGACTCATCTCGATTGTACTCACGGAGCACGGGCGCTCCGCATCGCTGTGAAACGATCATAGATAATACACTATATACCAGGAAGAAACGATGAATGAGCAGCGGAGCGCTCGCGTCTGCATGTACGGAGGTCCGGGTGCGGGACGCGGGTGGTGTTGTACGGGCTCTACGCGGAGCAAGTCCCGTACGGAACAATCCGCATCGCTGTGAAACGATGTTATATGTAGCTCCTCACGTCTGTCTCCGCTCCGGGAGCTCGTACGGAACTCCCGTATAGCTATGAAACCAGCCTTAATGTCAAGCACAACCTATTTATATTAGCAAAATTTTTAATTTTGCTTTTATTTATTTATTTATTCTTTAGTGCATTCTCTATTACAAAATAATACAAAGTTTATCTATATTAGCAAACCCCCTAGCTTTTCTGTAACTGTAAATGCTAGGCGGCTTTTATTATATTGAAATTTTCAATACTTTGATTAGGAAAGGGTAAATCAATTTACTTTCCTAATTCATATAATTATTTACAACAAAACATTCAAGCAATTTTTTTCTATGTGAAATCAACAATATTTGCGGTGGTTTGGTTTGGTGGTATTTTTCTGATATAACATTATTACATTATGTAGTGTCACATAATTATAATAACAATTGACAATAACAGGAGTATTAAAAGAAAATACCTACGTCTGTTCATGAAAATATTGTGGATTTGCCATATTTATAATGGACATAAATATAAAATAATCGCAATTAGATTTTAAGAGATTTCATCTTTATGTACTTCGTAAAAAAGATGGTTTATATACATATTGATAATGAAGAATGTTTAATATCACACATTAACTTCACAATTTGCTGTATTACTCTTTTCTTAAAATTTAAATACACGATTCAGTAAATAAAGTTTATACTAACAAAAAAATAATCTATGACTATAGGTGTAGGTACAATAACATAATCTCAATCCACGACTTTTTCTGCCTGCCACCAGGGGGGCGCCACTTAACAATGAATAATATTTGACGGATTTCATAATGGGGAGGTTTGTTCGAAAAATGTAAAGGTTTATGTTTCTTTCTGTACTTTAGTTTATAAATTATATTAATTAGATTAAAAATAAATAAACCATACCACAGATATTCATAAAAGTAGAAAAATTGGAAAAAGAGTTAAAAATTAATGAAGTACGTGTTTTGTGTATTAATGTAATACTCTAGAAACTGATAAACTTTTATTTAAAACTAACCTCTCAATTAAGTCATATTGTGTAACAAAAAACTTCACCTCAGTGTCAACTAGCGACATCTGGTGAGCGGAAGATTAATAGCCCTCATTATAGCAGCCAAATTTTCCATCCAAGTTTTTCCTTTCATTCAAGTCTGGCAAAATATTTGAGCTATATGCATCTTCACTGAATATGCCACGTTTAAATAACAAATACTAATATGAACTA